CGGTCTGCATGGGATCAGAAAACCTGCACTGTGCCCAGTCCTGCCTTTACAAATATCTTATTACATCTACAACAATAGATGTTATATCTATTCTCATTCATTTCAATGTCATCTGTACACTGACAATACCCAAATAATTATTACCAGCCTGAATAACTCTTCTGAGCTCTAGACTCTCATAACCTACTGCTTATATGAGACATTCATTTATTTTTTAAAAGCTTTATTGATACATTATTTGCATACCATAAACTTCACAGCTTTTAAAGTGTACAATTCAATGGCTCATAATACATTCAAAGGTTGTACAAGCATCACCATAAACAAATCTTAAAACATTTCATGACCTCATAAAGAAACCTCATGCCCACGAGTACTTACACACTATTACCTGTTTTATAGGTGCTTGGTCCACTATTTACTGTGAGTATATCTTTGAAAGCGAGATCTTATTTTCTCTCTCATATGTTTTCATGCTTTTATTTACTGCCTTTTGAGTTTAAATGAGTCCCTTTAGCATTTCTTGTAATGCCAGTTTAGTGGTGATTAATCTTTAGTTTTTGCTTGTCTGGAAAGCTCTTGATCTCTCCTTCAAATCTGAATGATCATTTTGGTGGGCATAGAATGATTGGTTGGAAGTTTTTTACTTTATGAACTTTGAGTATGTCATGTCACTCCCTTCAAACCTACAATGTTTCTGCTGAAAACTATGGTGATAAACTCTGGAGCTTCCCTTGCATGTGACACCTGCTTTCCTCTTACTGCCTTTAAAATCCTCTTTAATTATAATGTGATTCAGTATAGGTGTCTTTAGGCTCTTATTTGGAACTTCCGGGGCTCCTTTACCTTAATGTCTGCTGCTTTCCCCAGATTAGATGTTTTCAGTGATTATTGCTTCAAATGTATTTCTGGGCCCTTTGCTTATTTTTCTGGGAACCCTGTAGTGTGAATATTCCCTTTCATGTTATCCCAGAGATCTCTTGTTGTATCTTTTTTTTTTTTTTTAAGATTTTTTTAAAATTTATTTCTACAAGCACTGGGCACAGTCAGAAGCACGGAAAGGTGAGAGAATTCACCAGAGCCAGAGCGGGGAACAGAACAGGCAGACTGACGAAGTACACTGCTGAGGGGAGCAGCAAGCAGCAGGATAGGTCTGCGTGCCATGTGGGCCCCTCACTGGCGCCCGGGGATCGAACCGGCGCTGCAGAGGCTGTGGGCAGCTTCACAGCCCAGCGCTCAACCACTGTGCCACCAGAGGAGGCCTGTATCTTTATTTTTTTAATACTTCTTTCATTTTTATGCTCTTTCTGGATGAGTTCTGGGGGTCTTCCAGTACACTTATTCATTCTTCTGCTTTATCCATTCTGTTGTTGTACCTCTCTGTTGTATTTTTAGTTCTATTATTGCATTCCTCAACTCTGTGAATTCTGTTTGAAAGTTCCTTAATTTTTCTACTTCATCCATTCTTCTCCAAAGACCATTGAGCATCTTTATAGCCATTACTTTCAATTTTCCCTCAGGTAGTTTTCTTATCTCCATATTTTAGGATCTTTTTCCAGAGTTTTGTTTTGCTTTTTCGTTTGGGTTGCGTTTTCCTGTTTTCCCATTTTCCTTGATTCTCTCTGCTTATTTCTGTTTTAGGCAACACTACTACCTGTTCTAGGACTGAGGGTTTAGTTTTATGCAAATAATGTCACTTGGCATCTCGGTTCTCCAGGTAGCTGCTGGAGGTGTGCCCTTTTGTGCTCTGCATCCACCTTCCTGATGCGTCATGGCAGTGCTGTGGGTAGGGTGCTTTGCTTGGGTTTGGCTCAACCTTGGACTAAGGTGTGCCGAGTGGATGGTGCTGTGGGTCCAGACTTGGTGTGTGGCTGCCTGGTATTGCTGCCAGATATACCCAGTGTATGTAGGCTAACTGCCATGTTGGTGCTCGCTGGTCCAACAGCAGTGCACAGTGCCAGTATCAGCCTGTGGTGTTACAAGGGGGGCTACCAATGGGAAGTGTGGCCCTCAGCTAGAAACTATGTTTCAAGATGTATTCTGGTGTAACTTGGGTGCTGGTAGTGGTAGCTGTAGTACGGGCTTTAGGACCCAGTGGCTGGGGCCTTGTAGACCTGGCTCTGACCAACAGGCCTGATTTGCAGGTACAGAGGATCTTGTGGGTGCGGCTGGGGCCCTCAACTAGGGTCTTGCTGTGCCGGGCAGGATGCTCAAGCATTTGGAGGCTACTGTTCTGACAGCATGGGCAGATGAGCCAGACTGACAGCATGACCAGGTGGGAACTTGCAGAGGGTGGAGCACAATTTCTGGTTTTCAGGGTGCCGGGCCTGACATGCCTCAGACTGTCAGGGGAGTGCAGCATATACTGGAGTCCACTTGCTAGCAGGCCACGCTGTAGCTAAGTACCTTGGGATGTTTGCTGGTTGTAAGGCACTGCATGCTTGTAAGCGGTGGTGGTAGCAAGTGGTGGCTAACAGGGGTCAGTGCTGTTTGTGTACCAGGGGCAGAACCTCATACCTGTTACCTCTTGGTCCCTTGGTTGGCTATTTCCCAAGGGTGTGTGGATTCTCATCAGTGATCCATGCTCCACGTCTAATAGTATAGAGTGAGTTCCAAGATGGCACCCACCCACACTGTTACCAGCAAAGGTGAAAAGGTTGCCCAAATGGTGCTGGTGGTGACTTTGATCCCATCCATAGCACAGATTGCCTTTCAATTTTGGTTCTCTCACTTCATTCAGTGATATACTGTAGTTTTGCCTGCAGAAGACTTGTATCTTTTGTTATATATAGCCCTAAGTATCTCATTATTTTTGATGCCACTCCATTTGGTTTTTTTTAATATTTATTTATTTATACAAGAACTGGGGTACAGGTCAGAGGCGTGGGAGGGTGAGAGAATTCACCAGAGACAGAGCAGGTTGCAAAACAGGCAGATGAACCGAAGACACTGCTGAGGGGAGCAGCAGGCAAGGCACGAGAGGTCTGCCACGCCATGTGGGTTTCTCCCTGGCTGCCTGGGAATCGCACCCACACTGCAGAGGCTTCGGACAGCTTCACAGCTTGGTGCTCAACCTGCTGCGCCACCAGGGAGGCCCAATGCCATTCCATTTGTAAATGGAATTATATTCTTATTTTCCCTTTTGTATTTGTTACCTAAAATTCTCGGTTTTAAATTTCTCAGTGAGCAAATCCCCAAAAATTTTATGCCTGAGTTTTATTGACTAACTAGCACAATATTAACCGCATAACCATTTAACACATATTGCTAAGACCCTACTCAAAATTTGCGAGTCACTGAATGCAAGGATTAAATACATAAATATTTCACATTCCATAACACCAAAGGAAAGGGTGGAAATATGTTATCGAAAAGACATTTTAAAAGGTTACAGTTATTTGCTTGTTTCCACTCTGTAACATCCAAAACTGCTAACTGCTAATATTTTAAAAGAGGTAAATTTAGTTCAACCCAAATATCTCAAAATAAATTTAAAAAACAGTATATTTTAAATCCGTGGAGTAGTAAAAGATTTACCAACAGATAAATAATCATGTCTGACAAAAGGATGGAATAAAATTTCATTTTCTATAATATAAATTTGACTATATTTGATTTTTTGAAGTTTTCATAAATAGGATTATTCCAAATTTTGCTTTCCAGTTGTTCCTTGGAATATAGTTGAATATAGTTGAATATGGGAATATTGTTGAATTTTGTTTATTGACTGTGTATCCTATTACTTTGCTAAATTAGCTTGACTGGTTATCAAATGTAGAACTAACCTTGCGTTGCTGGCATAAATCTCACTTGCTGGTAGTTCACAATTCTTTTTATATACTGTTGGATTCCATCAGCAAATATTTTGTTGAGGATTTTTTTATTTAGATTCATGAGAAATATTCATCTGTGGTTTTTATATGAGAATTATATTTGTCTGACTTTGGTATGTGAATAATACTGACTTCATAAAAGTATTTGGGAAACATTTATCCCTCTTATTTTCTGGAAAAGATTTTGAAATCTGGTGTGAATTCTTCTTTCAATATTTATTAGAATTCTTCAGAAAACCATACAAGCCTAAAGATTTCTTTTGGGAGAGTTTTAAATTATGAGCTAAATTCCTTTAATAGTAATGGGGCTGTTTGGATTATTTAATCCATCTTCATTAAGTTTTAGTAGTTTATTGATTTTGAAGACTGGTACAATTCTTCTAAGTCTTTCATAGAATTTCCTTATTTTAATGGTTGCACGATCTTTAGTTATATTCCCTGCTCTGGCCTTGTTAGTGGTGATTTGTGTCCTCTATTTCTATACTATTTCTGTCTTACTAGAGGTTTATCAATTTTATTGATTTTTTGAAAACCAGGCCTTAGTTTTCTTGATTTTATTCTATAGCTTTCCAATTTTCACATTCATCGATTCTTACTCTTTAATAGTCTCTTCCTTCCTGCTATGGATTTATTTTACTCTTCCTATTTCCTTGAGGTAGGGACTTAGATTATTTACTTGAAACCTTTCCTTGTTTCTAATGTAGGGATCTGGTGCTATAAATATGGTAAGTTTATATCTGTCATTTCATTTTTTCTACTTCCTCTTGTTCTCTTCGTATTCCTCTCTTCTTGACTTCCTGTGGGTTATTTGATTATTACTAAATCATTTATTGTTTTGCATATCTGGTGCCATGCTTTCATGCCAGGGATAAATCCTGCTTGATCATTATATATGATCCTTTTAATGTCCTGTTTAATTTGGTTTTCTAAGACTTTGTTGAGAATTTTTGTGTCTATGTTTTATCAGAGATACCCGTTTGTTGTTTTATTCTCTTACAGAGCCCCTTTCTTTCTTTGTATCAGGGCAACGCTGGCCTCAAAAGTGGATTTGAACACCTGAAAGGAGAAATCCTATACTATCAAAAAAAATTAACAAGGATATAAAACAATGGTACTTCATTAAAAAAATAAAATGGGCTTCCGGCGCCGCTGCGGGCCAGGTTAAAGATGGCGGTGGCAGGGTCCGGCGTTTCTAGGCTGCTGGGTCGGTCCTGGCCACGGCTGGGCCAGCCTATGTTGAGCGGCGCCCACGGCGAAGAGGGCTCAGCTCGCATGTGGAAGGCTCTCACCTACTTCGTCGCGCTCCCTGGGGTGGCAGTGAGCATGCTGAATGTCTTCCTGAAGTCGAAACATGGAGAGCATGAGAGACCCGAGTTTGTCGCCTACCCCCATCTCCGCATCAGGGCTAAGCCTTTTCCCTGGGGAGATGGTAACCATACTCTATTCCACAATGCTCATGTGAATCCACTGCCCACCGGCTATGAAGAGGATTAAAGAGAACCTGCACCATTACCTAAGCACTTGGGACCACAACCCTGGCTTGGAACATAACTCTGCACACGGACCAGAAAAATGTACGGGACCTTAAGCTCACTTCTTGTATCAAATGCTGACCATTATACTTATCTCCCATCTCTGCTTAATGGCAGGTGATGGCTTAAATAAATAACTTGATTGGTCATGAAAAAAAAAATAAAATAAAATGGGCTTGAGAGTATTACCTCCTCTTCATTTTTTGAAAGATTGTCAGGAGGATTGGCATTGATTCTTCTTTAAATATTTGCTTGTTAGAATTCTTCAGTGAAACCCTCTAGTCCTGGATTTTTCGTTATTGGGAGTTTTTTCATTAGTGATTTAATCTTTTAACCCATTATAGCCTCTTCATATTTTCTATCTATTCATGATTCAATTTTGTTTAAGTTGTATGTTTCCAGGAATTTATCCATTTCTTCTATTTACCCAATTAGGGAGCAAATAATTCTTATAGTAGTCTCTTGGGATCTTTTGTGTTTCTGTGGGATCAGTTTTAATGTCTCCTCTTTCATTTCTGACTTTGAGTTTTCTCTCCCTTTTTTATTTGTCTTGCTAAACATTTGTTGACTTTGCTTATCCTTCTAAAAATCAGTTCAGTTTCATTGATCTTTATTATTTTTCTGAACACTTTCATTTATTTCTGTTGTGATTTTTGCTTGTTTCCTTCCTTCTGCTAAGTAGATTGACTTTGTTCTTTCTCTAGCCCCATGAGGTATAAAACTTAGTTGTTAATTTTGAGAGCTTTATTTTTTGTTAATATAGACATTTATTACTATAAACTTCCCTCTTACAACTGCTTTTACAGCATCCCATAGATTTTGGTGTTTTGTTTTCCATTTTCTTCATTTTTGATCTTTTTTATTTCTTTTTTTTATTTCTCTCCTGACCCATGTGTAGTTTAATTTTCACATGTTTGTAAATATTCCAGGTTCTTGTTGTTGATTTGTAGTTTCATACTTTGTGGTTTGAAATGATACTTGATATGATTTCAGTCTTCCTAAATTTGCTAAGACTTTTTGTGTCCTTTCAAATTATCTATCCTGGGATATCTTCCATGAATGTTTGATAAGACTGTACATTCAGCTGTTGGTGGCATAAAGTCCTATTTATGTCTGTTAGGTCCATTTGCTCAATATTATGGCTAAATCCAACATTCCCTAGTTCATTTTCTGTTTGGATGACCTATCCATTGCTGAAGTGGGGTGTTGAAATTCCATACTACTATTGTACTATCTGTTTCTCCCTTCATTTCTGTTAGTATTTGCTTAATATATTAGATGCCAGGATGTTGTTTCACTCTAAGGTGGTCACAGAATCCAGCAGCAGCTCGGAAAGCAGTGCTGGGCATGCAGAAAATGCACACAGAACAGTCCCAACCTGGTTGTGCAAACTGGAGACACCTCTGTGGCCTTTCCTTCCATAGTGCTTCCAAGTAAAGCATCCAGGATAGAGAGATCCATCTGTCAGTGTCACTTCCATCTCCTCCTTTTGTTTCACACCTCAAAAAGAGGTTGCCTCTCTCCTTCCTCCTTCCAAGAAGCCCTCCATTCAAAAATCCACCTCATGAAATGCTGGGAGTTGTAGTCCAAAGCATCTGAGATGGTGGCAAAGACATGGGGTGGGAACGAGGCACCTCTTCCTGAGAACTCAGCAAAGGCTCTTTCTTCCATGGAGACATATCCTGTAACAGTATCAAGCTTGGCTTTCAAAGGGAACCAAACTAGACAAACCCATAAAAAATAGGTTAAAGAAATGAAAAATATAATTCTCAAAAGAAACAAAAATAACTTAAAAAGTCCTTAAATATATGGCCCACTCATAATGAAGGAAATATGAACGGAAACAAAGAATCCATTTATCTGTCAAATAAAAATGGTTAAAGATTTTTATATGCCAATTGTATGTGCTATTGTTACAATCTCTTTTTAAGGCAATCTGACATAATTTTCAATATACACATTTGCTTTGATCAGAAATTTTATTTCTAGATATATGTATGACAGATGTACTCACACAGGCACACAGGAATATGCACAAAAATGTTTGTTGCAGGTTGGTTATAATAAAGCACTGCACTGGGTGGAGGAAAGCACTGAATTTCCATGAGTGGGTAATTGGTTTGGAAAGTATGGTAAATCCATACAGCCCAAAATATACCATTAACAAAAATAGAGCTCATCTATGTGGACCCATTGATTCATTAAAATGATAATGCTAGGTGTAAAATATACATAGCATATTTATGAATTATTTATTATATTGCAAAATAACTTTAACATTAACAGGTATTGCCACTGAGAAAGGAAAATAATGTGTTAGTGTTTTAAATATGACTTTTTTATTTTTGGTATCTTTGTACTTTCAGAAAGTTTAGTCATGCCCAAATATTGCTCTTTCAATTACAAAATATTTGCCAAATAAATAATGGATATTATGTTCTTCAATTATAATTGAAATTAATCTTTAATGTTAGCTATTGATTTCAGAGAGGAAAACTATTTGTTCTGTAGTATGTGCATAGAAAAATAGATCACCAAAATGTTAAAAGTAATTGTCTATATAGATACAGGACTATATTTTATTTATTCTTTAGAATTTTCTGAATTGGTTGTAAGTGCATGTATTACTTTGACAATAAAATAATAAATGTCTCTTCCCTTAAAATTTTTTTTTATAAATTCTGCATAACATGTCTGGATGTCACCATCATCCTTCACATTGCAAATCTCCTCTGTCCTATTACCAGCTGAAATTGGTGTTTTGCAACTAAATTTCCAATGTGTGCATGTGTAGAGGTTCCCCACACCAACAAGCAATTCTCAGATGCCAGCAGGTAATTCAATTCAATTGAGCTTAATTCTGCCACTATCTACCTGGGGATAGCATAAGATTCTAAAGATGAAGGCCTTAGTCTCCCAAGACTGCCTTCTATTTCAAATGCCAGTCACAAGCCCAGGTTGTGGCAGTGCTTCCAACCAATTGGTTACAAATTACAGGTTCCCACGACCCTCTGCCCTAGATTTCAGGTGTTAGTTATTTATGACCTACTGGCTATAAAACAAAAGTTCCTACAAACCACATCTCGGGTTTGATTAATTTGCTAGAGTGGCTCACAGAATTCAAGAAGTCCATTTAATCACTACATTACTGACTTTTTATGACTATTATGATAGGATATAACTCAGGGAACAGCCAGATGGAACGGCATAAGGCAAAGTATGAGGAAAGGGCATGGGGGCTCCCATGTTCTCTGCAGGTAAACCACAACTCACAAAGCTTCCCGGAAACTCTCAAAAACCTCTCCTCTTGGGTTTTTAATGGAGGCTCCATTGATAGGTGCAACTGATTAAATCACTGGCTATTTCAATTGCTTCAATCTCCTGCTCTGCTACCATCCTGATAGTCTGGGTTAGGAATAGAAGTTCCAATCCTCTAAACACCTGGTTGGTTCTCCTGGCAACCAATCACCATCCTTAGGTGCTTCCAAAAGTCACCTCATTTACATAATAAAGTGTACCTTTAGCACTCTCAACACCTAGGAAATTCTAAGGCTTTTGGGAACTGTAAGCCAGGAAGCCAGGAACAGTGGATGAAGACCATTTATGTTGACAGATACGCTTTGGGCGTGTGAAGGTATGACAATCTATTACGAACTATTCCTTTTCTCTTGACTCCCCTACTTGTTCTGATCGCTGCTGGTATTGGAGCAGAATCAGGCAGAAAAGGAGCCATAGAATTCCCTCACCTGGACACTTGAGATGAGACCTTCAATGCAATATCTATTAAGAAGAATATGATTTTTCTCCTGGATTAGATGAAACTGCAACTGTTTGATATTGGGATTATAGTTCTAATGCAATTATTATTTCAGTTGGACATTTGGTAACTAACAAAATCAGAAGATAGAAATGGCATCTGTTTTCCTATTTAAATTCAGGAAGAAAATGACTCTTACATTGCTTTTCCTATGAACCATACTAGCCACTAAGTGGAGCTGTAGGCTCAAGTATGAGAAGTGTGAATCATGAGTTCAATTATTTCATGAAATAGATACAGTGATGTTCTTGGAGTTCTCTAAGAATATTATGACAAAAATTCAGGTCTTTTTTCTTCCCAAAATTTCACTCCCTTATTCAAAATGAGTATTCAGAAGCTGGGAAGTTGAAGGGATAAATGAGATCACTTAGAAGGTCTAAAGATGGGATACATAAGTGACATTCAGTTTCATTATTCCACTTCATAGCAGATTATTTAAAACAATTGCATGTTACAGAATGTACAATTTCAATATTCTAGAATGTTGTCTTTTTATTTTAAAATTCAGCTTCCTGATTTTCTTTTACTATTCCACTATGCATTTATGATTATTGAAAAACATACAACTTTACATACCAGGAAATGGGAAATGATAAGTGCCTTAGATTTATGTCACAGTTAATACAATTTTTGTTAAATCGCATTTAACCCTAGCATTTAGTTTTTCAGTGATTGTCAACTAAGGGCAATTTTGCCCCCACCAGGACATTTGGCATTGTCTGGGGACAGTTTTAGTTGTCACAATTGGTAAGGGGGGGCAGGTACCAGTATGTAGAGGGTACAGACCAAGGATGTAAAGAGGGAGTATTTTACACTTTCTTTAATATATTCCCATGGAGTCTAGTAACCCTTGATACCGGAGTACAAAGAGAAGGGGTTGGGGTGGGGGGGAAGAGATAGAGAAAGAGAGAATGAAAAGTCAGTAAATTAATTGCTCAAAGACATCTTAGTTAATATCCAGCTGGTGTGACTTGGGGGCCCTTCCAAAAAGCCATAGCACCTCTCTAAAACTTGATGCATAATGCTACAACAATTTAAAAACTTTTATTTGAACAACTTCCATAAGGACAAAAAAGGTCCTTATTGGCCGTAGCCATCTCCTAGCAAAGAACTTGATGTTATACTGGAAAAGTTTGTGTGTTCTGCATAGAGGCACATTGACAGTCTATATAGAGAGGA